ATATTAAATGTTTTATTTATATTGAAAATCTCAAATAAATAAAATATTATTTTGGTTGACCGGATACTTTTCTGAGGATAGTGTATATAAAAAAAAGAACTTTGTTTGAAAAAAATATCATCATCTTTTTTAAAATAAAAAAGACTTGACTAATGAATATAATGTTAGTAAAAAATAGTAAATAATATTTTAAAGAGAAAGATTGTTAACTTTTTATAAATATTAATTCATATTAAGCTAATTTAAAATATGATAAAAACTCTCATTAAAGAAGCATTAGCAATTTAGATAGATAATATACTTGAAGTTGACTTTATTATTATTGATAATATTTTTTCAACCAAAGCCTTAAGTTTTGCTTTTTCACTAAAGAAGTATAAGTTTAAAGAATTTAGTAATTAGGTAAATCTTCAGCAAATATTAAAAGATTATAGTTTTGAAGATATATTCAATTATAATGAAATAGGATTATTTTGGAAGATAAAACTATGTTGAATGATATAAAGGTGCGATCTGTTTATTCGAAATCCAGTCATCCAATCAAAATTCAGATTAAATTACAGTACGAATATGATTATTTTTGATCAAATAATATACGGATTTAAAAACTTTGAACAGATTTTCACCAAATTATCTGTATAATCTATTGATCTGATGAATAGTAATATATATGCTATAGTACTGACTGTACCGTATATGTTGTATAAAAATTTCCTGAAATGTAAATTTAATTGTAGTTAGTTACTATATAAAGAATGTAGAATAAATACAGAATTCTTTCATGTTATGTTGTTAAACGCGTTGAACCAATAAAAACAATGGTTAATAAAGTAAAACAACCTCATAATGATAATAGTGATACCGAACTAGAGTAACCAAACCATAAAAAGGTTAAGCTAAATGAAACTCGTAGAGGAAGTAAAGTTAGAAGTTGGATCTGGAAATACTTTGAACCTGGTTTTAAAGAGGGAGTAAGGTATGCAGTTTGTCAAGTAGAAATAATAGTTGGAAAGAAATGTGAAAAAACCTATAAGGTTGATACATCCACTAGTAATTGCTCTGAACATCTTGCAAATATTCATGGGATAACTAAGGAGCAAAAGGAAGCTGATATTGTAAGTGTATTTTCAATAATTAACGTTAATTAATTTTATAAATATAATAATTAAAAAGTTTTTTTT